TTCACATAAAAAAAGAAGTACCCAGTACTACAATATAACACAGATTTTTTTTATCAGTATTAATTGCTTCCCATTTAATATTCAAAAATAAAAACAGAAGATTCAAAATCCCGATAGATCCTAAAGACCTAGGGAATCTGACACAGTACTTTAAGTCCTTAGCATTTGCTCTGTTTTGTTTTTTGCCTCAAAATTCCCAGAGGCTACATATTTCCTTAAGAGAAAATCGGATTTTTTACCTCTAGTGGTGAGAATTCTAGCTGCCTTAGCTTCCCTTGTCCCTCTTGACTACTGAGGATGTTCCAGTACAAAGAGAACGGCAGATTTCATTGGGCAGATTTCAGTTTCTTCAGCAGTTTTTCTAAGCTGTTGAATTATGACAGGGCTTCATCCACTGTCAGGTGTCAGAGTTTTTCTGTTTCTTCCTTTTAGCTGATGATGTTCTCCGGAGATGACAGTGGGTACCCACCAGGTAGATAACAACTAAGGAAAATTGATATAAATTGCTTCCATATGAAAGGTTCCATAGGCAGAACCCCTATAGTTTCATGCCAGTTCTCTGACTATTCTTGTGACCCAATGCCCTGGTTTCTTTATTCCTGCTGCTGTCTGTGAGCAAAAGTCAAATCCCATTGAATACCCAGATGTCACTATTGTTCTCCAGGTAAATGTACCTGGAGCCAGAGGCAAGTCAGATCATTAAATAGGAGCACTCTACTTTGTCCTCTGATCCCATGACCTATTCTCCTCTTTCTCCTCTGCATATCTTCAGAGGGACTTATCTCCCAGTTGAAATGGCCTCCCCTGGAAATAGTGGTACAGAAAATAGTAAGCTAATAGATTCTCTTGCGTAGGTATCCTGGCTTGCTTCTTCTATAACTTAATGAGCTCTGAGGTCCTATTTATCTTTTCAAGTGGAGAGATTATAGGTACATGCTGCCACCAGGAGTACAATTCAAGTATCTTAAGTTTCTATATGCCCTAATGTAAATGCTGACAATTTTTAAATTTCTAACTAATTAGGTATACTGAGATTCCTTTTTGTGGCCAGTTCTTAAGCCCAGACAATAAAGGTGAGTTTCTCAGTTTTTGTAGAATGTTATTTCCACTATATATGGTCTTTTTCAGTCAACAGACTCCTTGGGTCAAAGGAAACACTTCTCTGTGTGTAGTCTGTATATGTAAACTTGCATATTAATTTTTCTCTGGAAACCTAGGACAGTTTCTGTGTGTTCCAAGGTCTTGGATCCATTAGTGATGATTTGAAGAAAGAGAGCTCAATTTTCCAAGTGTTAAACAGGAAGTTAAAACGAAAACCATATAGTATTAGAGTTGTAGAAAGTTTATCTTTTTTAATATTTTGTTTATTATTTTTATTTTATGTGTATAAGTGTTTTTTGCCTGCACGTATGTGAGTGCACCCATGTCGTGCAGTGCCATAGAGGTCAGAAGAGGGCTTTGGATTCCCCTGGAACTGGAGTTAAGAATGGTTCATAGCCACCATGTGGGTGCTGGGAATCAAACATGGGTCCTCTGCAAAATAAGTCAGTGCTCTTTACCTCTGAGCCATCTCTCCAGCCCCGAGAGTTTATCTTTTTTTAAAAAATATTTTATTATTTTTATATTATGTGTATGAGTGTTTTGCCTACATGTATATAAATGTGACATGTGCATGCAATTCCTGTGCAGAGGCCAGAGAGGATGCCATATCCCCTGGAACTGGAGTTACAGATGGTTGTTAGCTGTCATGTGGGTGCTGGGAATTTAACTGGGTTCCTCTAGAAGAACAGGAAGTGTTCTTAACTGATGAACCACCTCCAAGCCCCAATAGTCAATATAAATTAAAATGTTTAAAATGCACCCAGAGATTAAAGGAAGGGTACCTACTTCATAAATACACTTTGATGAGACCTTTAGCATGAACAGGACAAAGAAAAAGAAATAGCTTTAAAATTATGATGAAATAAAGATGCACACCTAGACTCTGTGCACAGCTGAACTGTCATCATCAAATGGACACAAATAAAAAGAAAAAAAGTAATTGATCTCCAAATTCTCCCAAGAAAATTTCAGTAAGTTGACTTTCATGCAAGGTGAAAAATAAGTTTCAGTCTTCAACAGGTGGAGATACAGTTTGCCAGCACCATTTGTTGAAGATGCTGTCTTTCCTCCCATGTGTGTTCTTAGCACATTTGTCAAATATCAGGTGGCTGAAATTGCATGTATGAGCCTTCAATTATGTTCTCTTGATCTCTGTGTCAATTTTTCTATCAGCAAAATGATTTTTTTATGACTACAGCTCTGTAATATAGTATTAAATCTAGTATGGGAAGCCATCCAGCATTGCTCTTTGTGCTCAGGATTACTTTGGCTATCTGAGGTCTTTTATCATTCAATAAAAATTTTAGGAAGTTTTTTTTTTCTAATTCCATGAAGAATGTCATGTAAATTTTAATTTGGATTGCACTGAATTTATAGATTGCTTTTGGTATGATGGTCATTTTCACAGCATTAATTCTTCTAATTCATGAGAAAAGGTTTTTCCATCTACTGGTGTCTTCCTCTAGCTTCTTTTATAAGATTTTAAAAATGTCTTTCATCAAGTTTATTCCTAGATAGTTTTTGAGGCTAATGTGAAAAGAGATTTTAATGTACTCTTTAGCTGATTGTTATTGGTATATAGAAAGGCTACTGATTTTTGTAGATTGACTTTGTAATCTGGCACTTTGCTGAAAGTGTTAATCATCTCTAGGAGTTTTCTGGTGGAGTTATTAGGATCTCTTACTTACAATATCATATGAACTGGAAGCAGGGATAATTTGACCTCTTCGTTTCATCTGTTTTCCATGGGCTTTTGTCCCATTTCAGTGGTATTGCAACTACTATAAAAATACAAACAGAAAGAACATTTAAACAGTGGCTGCTAAAATAACTTAACCTATGTGTAGTAATTTAGCAGGTACATTACATCCATCTAACAAAACAATTATAGCAACTTCACTACTGGGGCCTATATCTGCCCCTGCCACAGGGGTTGGGCTGGTCTACAGTACCAGATGTGTGTTCCACCTCCTGGAGTGGGCATTATATCCAATCAAAAATTTGTTGGTTGTACATATACTAGATGCACCACTACTGTACCAGCTGGAACATCTTGTTTGGCATGTTAATAGTGCAGCACATGGGGACTGTCATTGATCAGAATTATAGGGGACAGTTCTCCCATAGCTATCTACATATTGCCTGCTGGCACTATGAAAGCCACCCATCCAGTGATTGTGAGTTTCCATGTTAGTCCAATCATCATGATTTCTCCCTCTCCCACACTCACATCATGCGGTGTCTTCAGCAATAGGGTTTAAATGTCCACTTCCAGTGTACAGATTTTTCTTTTGTCTGTGTATTGGGAGAATTTTTCCCCCTTATCTAGTCCCTTTTTACATATTTCTCTCTTAGCAACACCTTTCTCCTACTATTCTTCTTTTTTGCATTCTTTCCCTTTACCTCCCTGTTTCCCTTCCATATTCCTGGTTCCTGCAGTTACATCAGGATATGCACTCACTTTTAAGGATTTGGTGCTAGGATCCACAAATGATGGAGAACAAACATCTTTTGTTTTTCTGAGTCTATGTTAATTCACTTAGTATAGCAGCCTCTAGATCCATCCATTCACCTGAAAATTTCATTATTTCATTTTTCTTTACAGTTGAGTAGAGCTCCATTGTGTAAATGTATCATATTTCCGTTAACCACTCATCAGTTGAAGGGCACTTAGGTTTCTTCCATCTCTCAGCTATTGTGAAAAGAGCAGCAATAACAACAAACATGGTTGTACAAGTGGAGAACTCTTAAAAAACTAAAAATTAACCTATCACATGACCCAGTTATACCACTCCTTGGCATATACCCCAAAGACTCATCCTATTGCAAAGACACTTGAATTTTTATGTCTTCTAGCTCTGCAACACTACTCAGCTGCTATGTTTTCCCTGCAGCCTTTCCTACTGAGAAACATCCAGTGGCCTCTCATTGCTGATATTGTGCAAGGTAATGCTTTAGTAATACAAAAGGAGCAAAAGATCTATTCTGTTTAATTTTTTCACATTTCCAGTTAGTC